GAAAATTCAAGTTTACTAACTAGCTGTTCTGGAGGTGTCATAGCCTTGAAAGTATCAGGCTGCAATAACAGAACTTGCAGAACCAAACTGACCCCAGAGTAAAGCTTCACTAAGTAGTTAGCCAAAATATTAATATTCAAACGGACATTCAAGCTCAAATTTGGCTTTCTTAAAAAAAAAAAAAAAAAAAAAAGATAAAGAAAGACACAATAACTCCATCTATGCTATAAGTTACTGAGCATTCCTAGGTATGCTCAGACAGGTATCACGTACAGAGGCCTTTCAGGTCTAAACTAAAAAACTTCAGCAGAACTTGGAAATCTTATTAAGTTATATGAACACAGCCTCACTTTTAATCCACCTATTACCAAAATGGTTAGCCCCAATGCAAGCAGGTTCCCTTTCTGTGCTACGCAGGGCAGTCCACGCTATTCTCCGCACCCCTTTCAACCCGCTCTGCTCTTTCATGGCGGTTGTGTCCTCTGCTGGGAGATTTCCTCTTTTGCAGATGCCTCAATACGTACATGGAAGCAGCCTCCAAATAGCAATGGCTAAATGATATATAACATATTCCCTGGTTTTTACTCCATGAACGCAGTTTGCCCAGTGTCTCCTACACGGAGCACCAGCCGCAGGTGAAAATTAAAAATGGGAACTGATTCAGCTCGGGAGAGAAGGCAGAACAAAAATCCCCTCGCTGTAACAGACGGACGCCTCAGCTGTGAGCAGGTAGGAACGCAAGTATCTACGTAACGAAATTTATCCATAGCTACTTGCTTTTTTTCTCTCTTATTCAAGGTGAAACTCTACAGCCTGGACAGTTCTCACCGAAGGCATTTCAGTTCCCATCTCTCAGTGTAAGAGGAGGTGACACCGCAGCGTGTATTAGCACAAGAAACACTTAACTGCCTTTCTACTTCTTCTGTCTTTGTGGTATTTTAAACAAAACCTCCATGAAAGCTCCTTAAAGGTCTCATTTGTATGTGCAGATCAAAGGCAAAATAATTATTTGAGATGCTTCCATTACAGGGATTTTTTTAATGTGGTTATTTATCAAATAATTCTTAATCTCTAAACATAATTTAAATACAGCTATACCTGGTTAATCCAATCAATTTAGAAAGAGTCGTTCTAGTTAGATTAAGAAAAAACTCCAGAACCGGCTCATCAGTGATACCCATACGATGTGAGAGTGGTTACCAGCTAAATGTGCTAGACAGAGACAGCTGTATAAATCATGATGGATTAACCAGACTTGACTGTATCTAAAAATAAGTGCTACCCATAAAACTGTTAGAACATGACAAAACACAACTGTCATAAAAATATAGCCAGTGATCATTGTAAATAGATTCTTAGTAAGTTAGGAAGTGCATTGCTATGAGGTAAACATGCTAAGTGAAAATCTGCTGGACTAGATTTAAATAAAATGTATGTTCTGTGCACAAATAAGAAACAAAGACCACGCTGTTGATATACTGTTTTTTTATCTTTCTTTGGCCCCCCGGGGTCTATGATGAGTCCATAGCCGAAAACCAATTTCATGTATGATGAGATTAACCAGGTGCATTAATTATCTGATGGCAAAAGAATTTAAGGGCAAACAAAAAGGCACTATATTATATATTTTCTCTCTGCACTAGGACTGATCCTGAAAGATCAGTCTCCTATTTTGTTCTGAATGTCTTTAGTCGGAAGCTTATGGGAGTTTAGGGAATTCAGCATGTTGCCGGATTGTATCGATTATGCCTAAATCAGATTATATATAAATACAGTGGGTTTAGTTCTCGTTTACACTGGCAGATAATGTATCAAGACCTTGATGTGAATGAGAATCAGGTTCGTGATTGCCCAAATCCAGCCAAGCACTTAAGTGTGTGTTTAATGCAAGTATGTGTGTGGTCCAATAGACTCCAAATTAAGCATGCGCTTACATATTTTGCTGAGCAAGAACCAATGTTTGACACAGATATATATTTCATTTATCGGTCTCTGTTAAACAAAATTAACCAGACGTAAGTGCAAAAATAAGAATATAATACTCACTTCTTGGCTCCCTTGGCCCATCCACTGTAACCTTTATAGCTCTGTGGTATGTGGCGACTTGGGGGGGATTTGTCAGGACAGTTATTGTCAAAGTAAAGCTCTTCCCTACAAAGGGAAAAAAACAACAAGGAATGAGTGATTACAACATGAAAACAGTCACATGCATGTTCAGTAAAGAATCAAGAGACGTTTAAAATTATTCCCTGTTGTTACCACAATCGTGAAAATTAAAAACATAACTGACCATAGGAGTTTTCCTCCCCTTCAGTTTTACTCTGTGTCAAGAATATGTCCATGTGTTGACAATCTAAATGTTCCTTATTTAATAATGGGTCATCATACAATGACAGAACAAAACTGATTCAGTGCTGAGGACAAGCCAAATTCTTTGCTCTATTGAAAGTGGTGTAAATCCAAAGCAAGTCAGATAATTTAAAAATTTACTCCAGTTTTGCAGCTGTGTGACAGAGAGCAGAATGTGGCCACATGTTATTTACTTCACACGGTTTTATCATTTCATTTGTTTGACTTGACTACAATAAGATGAGGAAAGAATATATTTTCCCCCTGGGAGTCATTTTAACAGGGAATCAGTGTCTCCTGTCCTTCATACACCAGGAGTAATATGATGATATCATTATTACTGGAACAGACTTTTTTTCCCTACCTAAGAAAGCCCCCAACTTTCCCGTGAGGGTGAGAAACTGCTGTGTGCACGTACATTGCTATCGTAAGCCTGCTTTTTTTTTTTTTATTATTTTTTCAAAGTGTGAATTCACGCAGAGATTGCACAAGATCATCCGCAGCCTTTAGCTGAATGAAAACGTTAAAAAGAAATAAATAAAGGGAGCTGCCTGCGTCTGAGCTCACATTCTCACAAGGCCCTGGCCCCCGTTCGGGAGACTCACTGACAGTTGTAATCTGTTAGATATGCAACGGTTAGTCATGTCAGATAGTCAAAACTGAAAACTGTTTCAAGACAGGAAAAGGTGGGCGTACAACAGTGACTCAATAAAACAGTCAGCAATCTTCGGCCTTCATGCTCATTTAAGCTGCTACTTTACCAGACACTTAAAACTCTCTTTCCCCCCCCTCACCCCCCGTGTGTATACGTGCATTTTTGTTGCTAGGGCTTTTCCTCTTGCTGAACTCTGAAGGCATTCAATCAAGGCACAAATCTTAAACGATATGTAACAGCACAAACTTAATGCAGTTTTTTCGAGCCTAATATAGAACAGCTTATATATAAGGCATAATACAGAACAGAGCTTTGGCTGTCAAACCTAGTAATTGGTCTTTCTTTCAGGTCCAAGTTGCATATCCCCCAAACCTGCCTGAGACACGCATCATTTATTATCAGGAGTGCAACTTCAAACTGTCTCGGCTATATTTTTTACGAACTAAAATGCGACATGGATTTTTTTTTAAGGAAATATAACTGTCATTTAGAGGAAAATGATTTTCCAGGCATAGCTGCGCGCCAGCTCTGCCCACCTCTCCGAGAGATGCAGGTTACAGGGGAGGTCAAGAGCTCGGCAAAGGTGCAAAAATCTCCGGAGGCTGAATTTTGCCCCAGTGGAGATGCAGGGCTGAAGGTGGCTTTCCTCAGTTTCATTGGGAAAGGGATTATTTCTCAAATCTTTTGAGAGTGACCATCACAGGAGGAGAGTTAGGTGTATGTACGACGTCCAGTCTTTGTCCAGTCCTGCCCACACGCCGTCTCCAGAGGTAAACTGTGTGTCCTGCCAGCGTACAGCGTGTGCCAGGCAGCCTTCGGACACCCAGCAACAGCCCTGCTGAAGCACACGGTGCCTCCACGCCTGCCTGTTTAGGGCTGCAAAGGGCCCGTGCTTTTTATCCCTCTCCAAGTAGGAACTCAGCCTATTGCTTAGATATATATATAAATTCACCAGGGACAGGTTTAAGGCCTCCTTCAGCGCCAGCCTGTCACATCAAAAAGTTCTGACTGTGAAATGGTGTGATGATGCCATTCTGATCACAGACACCCATATGGAGTGGGTAGAATATTATTGGTAACAAAGATACGAAAGGGATTTTCCGCATACCTTTGAATGAAGAATTTGGCCTTCCAATCCTACCGTTCCATTTATATGCCAAATCAGTATAAAAGTCTATCATGACTAAAAATTAACCCAACAAAATATACTGTTTGTAAGACCCTGTAAAATCACGTCTGTGTGATTTTCTGCACTAAATGTATCTCAACAGGATACAGCGTCCAGAAAAAAAATGCATTCCTTCACATCTAGAAGAGCTACGTTTTGACCTCGCCTGTGAGCGCTTCTAAATTATCACCTCTCAGCCGGCCTAAGCTGAACAGGTAAGCATCTAATTTGAAAGGGAAACTGGTTTTGTTCCCTGAGATTCTAGCAAACCGAAGCATTAATGAAGTAACACTGACGAAGCCCCCTCGCACCCAGTAAACACCACATCACTTCATCGCGGGGAGCCGCGCGGCCCTGCCAGCACACTCAGGTTCCAGAGCTTTCAAGAGATGATTTACATATTACAGGATGAAGAAGAAAATAAATTTTTAAGGTCCCCTGTTTCAGTGATGCTTATGCCTTCCACAGATATTTCACAGATATCCCTCCTCAGCTACGAAATCCTTTAATGCACTTTTTATCACCTTTCTTTATTGCCCTTAGTCATTTCAACTATCCCCTTTTAGAGGTTAAAGACTAATTGTAGTTCTCTTTTATTAAATTCCCCAGCCAAGCAGTCATCTGGCACTATTGCTTCAGTGTGTCTAAACTGTGCATTCTTTGTTATTCACACATGTGAGCCGAGCTGACACAGAGGAGGACAAGATGGACATATGCTGAAGCACAAGGCAAACCCCAGAAATTAGCTTGAAAGGAGACTCGGCAGCTTGTGTGTGTTGCATATTTTTTCAGTTAGATGCTAATGTGATTAAAGTATCAGGACACAACAAAATTAAGGTTATGATCCTTTGCTTATTGAAGACAGGAATTCTTTCTTCTCTGAGCTGTGGATCGGGGCTTGTAAAAGCGAGCTACTGCCTGAAAACCACATACAAACAACTTCTGCATTCACATAAAGCGCCCCGGTTACTTATTCTTATGAATCCAGAAAAGGTGTTTAAGAGAAATTATACAAACAGAAACGTGAAGCTTCTGTCAGGCAAGCAACATTAATATGTATAAAAATCAAGTTTCTCCATTGAGCCATGGGAAGGAAGAAAAAACGTGGGAGAGGAGGCGAAGTGGTAAGCTGATGATTCAGACTTCACAATCAAATTTAGAGATACAGAGATCAAAGAGAAAGCTGTTTAGAAAGATGTAAATCTGAAGTCAGGAACAGGTGTGGATTAGTTTCTCGCCACTGAAAAGTTATTTCTTTATTAGTTTATTTTTCCTGTCCTACTTCAAGACCTGTATCTACCGGTATTTGTCTACATAAGGAACTTTCTCACTTCTGTTTGCAACTACTGCTTTCTTTCCCTGCTATTTTAAGCAGAGTTCTAAAAATCTATCATTAATGATAACTCTTTCTGCTTCTCTCCCTCTCTCTCTCCCCCTCTCTGTTCTAAGTCTGGAAGACAAGTCTGGACCAATTTCTCCATCCTGCCTCTGGCAGCAGAATGCAGCATTTCAGATCCTCCACCGAGTCCCGGCTGCTTCAAAGGAAAAGCCCTACTTTCTTCCGTTAAGATCATAAGAAATATAGGGGGAGGGGGTCAGCTCTGTTTGGACATAATTACACTTCATCAAAAGAAGCTTTCTTCATCTTCCATGCGTGAAAAGTCTGCAAGCAGTTAAGTCAGTCTTTTTTCTTCCTTTTTTTTTTTTTTTTAAAATATAAAAATTGTTTTTTGGGAAACTAGCCAAA